AGTGGTAAAGGCTTCCGGGAGTTGCAGGCCATCTGGGGACCCAAGGCTGGGAACAACCGGCTTAGAGAGTTTTCTGCGGGAACGCTTTCGTTCGCTTCCCTAGACTAGAGGGGAGAAGTCTTAAATCCCTCCCCCTCAAAGGAGAAGCCCCTGCATTCCAGAGGATGGCACGATGGCAGGGAAAGGGGTACAAGCTGCTGTCAGTGTGCAAGAAGTAAAACTTGACAGGGGACGCAGGAGCCCAGGGGGTGGGGGGAGCCTTTCCTTCCTGGAGGCCAATGCTAGTGATGCCAAGAGGCTGGAGGTGGCTCCCTTTGTGCCCTCTTCGATGATGACACAAAGGGGGGGGAGCTGTGAAGGAGGGCAGGAGTGAGGCAAGGCAGCCCAAGGGGTCTCCGGCTTGCAGGAAACACCAGGCAGAGCCAGCCTCTCTCCCCCACCCCGCCATCAAGCCAACCGGGCTACCACCCATGGCTACCGGCACGTTCCTCCTGCTTGCCACCTTGGCCTTGACTATCTCGGCTGTGCCTTCCTTGATGAGAGAGGCGGCCACCTCAAAATCATCCTGTAAGCCGCAGATCCGATACCGCAAGCCTTCCCTGGACACCCTTCCGTGGCCAGGGTATTGGGTGCCCCTGATGATCATCATTGGGGGCTGCTGTGGCCTGGCCTGGTGCATCCTCTACATGACCTACAACATCAGCCAAAGAGGAGAGGAGGAGTCGACGCAGCTTCCCAGCAAAGCGGAAGAGCCAGCCGTACCCTTGGTGAGCTTCTCCCTGGCAGCCTCAGATTCATCCACCATTAAGGTGGATTCAGACTTACAGTAGCCCCCAGTCCCTCCTCTTGGTGGCGCTCTGAGACGTGACACATGGCAGGGCACATAACCCGATCCAGTCACCCACTTGCTCAGGAGCCTCCCAGCTGACTCCTCTCCTAGGAGAAACAGTGGAGATTTGAAATCCCACCTCCTGGTTCCATAACCAGGCACCCAAACGCACGGAGCTTCAGTCCCTCTCCTGTTTTCATCCTCTCCTGGGAAGAGTCTGTAGATCAGTGGCAGAGAGCCGTACATTGCATGGTAGAAGGTCTGAGAGTTTGATCCTTAGCACCTCTAGAGAGGGCCGGCGGAGTCAACGTTTGCACCCAGCACCCCGCCAGTGACGTCTCAAATTTCTGATTTTCAAAATGGAAAAGTATAACAATCACTTCTGTTCATAACAGCACAGGAACAAAGGATGGGCAGATGGAGATGCTATCTTTTGAAGAGCAATGAGTAGCATTTTGTTTCTGGTGGTCATTTCGGGGCTGGCTTTTGATCATGTTTGTTTTTTTAAAAAAACATTAAAAATGTAGCAGTTTTTAACATAGCAGTTAAAAAAAGGGTGAGGTCAAGATCCGGTTGCTGGTCCTAGCTAAGAAGAGACCCATTGAATTGTTGAGAAGTAACTTGAAACTAGAGTAGGCCCATTTGAATCTATGGAATTTATAGACTTGGTTACCGAAGCTTCACTGATTCAATGGGCCTACTCTGGTACAACTTACTACATTTAGCAACAGAATTTCACCCACTGAGTTAGTGGCTCTCCTCTTGGTGAGAGTAGCAATGGGATTTTGGCCTGAATTTTAAAAATAAGCAGATATTTGTAAGTAGCCAACATCTGCCAAAGAGTGTTTTTTCCCCTCCTTCTCTCCTGGGCACAGGATGGCCAGAAAACCTGGAGCAGGACATTATTTCGAGCTGATCCTGACGTTTCCAACATGGGGACGGAGAACTCTCCCTGGGTGGAAGGCATGGCCGGGAGTGAGAGGATTGGGAGCTCGGACCGGCTGGAAAAGAAATTCACCAACGAGGGGATCGGGAGCTCTCCCTGGCTGGAAAGCAGGACAACCACCGGTGAGAGGATCGGGAGCTCAGCCTCACTGGAAAAGAAATTCACCAACGTGGGGATCGGCAGCTCTCCCTGGCTGGAAAATAACCTCGCCAGGGAGCCAGAGAGGAGCACCATTCAACTGGAGCGGAAAGCCACCAGCAAAAGGACTGGGATGTTTAGCCAGCCATTGGAAAGTCCTGCCGTAGCCGAGAGGGTCGGGAGCTTTACCTACTTTGAGAATAATGCTCTGAGTGAGAGGATCGGAAGCGCTGCTCTGCTGGAGAATAACATGGCAAGGGAGAGGATGGGCGGCTCTTCTCCTTCTCAGGAGACATGTCTCCCTGCCAGTGAGAGGAGCAGAAGCGTCCCTCAGCTGGAAAATAAAATCCCCACCCAAACAACCGAAGGGCCGGACTCTCTGGGGGCATCTGGGCCACCTCCACAGTGGCCTGGCTGGGGCGAAGAAGCCAGCAGCGGCAACCTCTGGCGTTTCATGGAGAAAGAGCTGGAGAGACTCCTGGGGGCCTTGCGCCTTCACCACTCCAGCACGCCAACCCCTCCGGAGGAGCCCCCCAAGCTACCGAACGAGGAGCCCCCCAAGCTACCGAACGAGGAGCCCCTCAAGCTACCGAACGAGGAGCTCCCAGTGCCCCCTTCTCCAGCTACAGAGGCACCACGTCCTCCTCCAGCTACAGAGGCACCAAATCCTCAGGCCAAGGCAGCATCTAGCTCCCTGGAAAGCCAGGAGAATCAGCCCTGGATGCTGTTTATCATCCACGAGGTCCCC